GGGACAGACCCCCGCTACCCCTTCGCCTGCTGTCTGTCTGGGCTGTGGCTCCCTGGGGCCTGCGGCTGCCTCTGGGAAGGCGACGGGGCCCGTTAGACTCTCTCAGGACCTCTTGTCTCTCTGACGCCGACTGACGTTGCCCCGGGATGACCGTCTCCAGCGGCGTCCGTCGGCGTGGCCGGGGGCTCCCAGAGCCTGACGTCTCCCTCTGAACCCTGACTGTCCTCGGCCTCCCTGTAACGGTTCATCTCCCCGTGGGACGCGGTGCCGAGCGCGATGCCTGAGAGGCGATGTGGACAGTTACCTCGTATGGCGTCTGCGCTTCCCAGGGACACGGGAAGTGTTTGGAGACACCGTGGTTTGGAGAAGCCCCCGTGACGGGACCGAGTGGGTCTGTGCCCTCACACAGGCGCCGTGACGCACAGCGAGGGGCCTGCCGGGCCTCCGCCTGCACGCGGTCCCTGCGCCTCGCCGTGTGGCCTCACTGTCCCTGGGCGGCTCTGTGGGGACCGGCGTCCCCGCCCTGGGCCAGGGGCTCGGGCGTTTCCCCTCCTGCCCCCTGGTCCCTCGGCCCCCTCACCTCTCTCGCCGTCGGCCCCACAGGGCCCCGGGAGTCCCTCAGAATCCTCTTTATTCCTCCACAAACCCTCACCTTTCCTCCCCCTGTAATTAAAGTCTTCCTTCTTCTCTGTAATTAAAGGTGTGAGTTTCAGGACATTTTTTTGAACACATTTTCCCCTCAGCATCGTCTTATTAGCACTGTAGCCGTGGAATGGATTTTTACTGGTTCTTCGGCGGCTGCTCCTTTAGACTGGGGTTTGGGGAGCTCGGGGAGGAGGTTTCCACCCTGAATCCCAGCGTCCAGGTGGCAGCGCCCGGGAGGGGTGCCTGTGGTGACCGTGCCCCCCGCCTGCCGGGGCCTGGCGTCCACACGGGTGCCTCTCGAGCCCTGAGGCGCAGCTGGGGGACGGAGCAGCCGAATTTCAACTGTCACACTTCGGCGAACCCCAGTGTGAACAGCTCCGTGGCTGTGGCGTCTGAACTGGGCTGTGCGGGTCGAGGGGCGTGTGCTCCGCGCCCTGGGCTCCGGCTGAAGCGCCGTCGGGGCGAACCCCGGCCGCCTGGGCCAGCCGCCAGCGCCTGCCCTGGACACCCCGCTGGTGCGAGGCACAGATCAGGGCAGCCGGCTCTGCCCGGGTCACCCGGGGTGGGCGGTGCAGGCGCCCAGGGAGGGGTGTCGGTGATGGAAGACAGGGTGGCGTCCGTGCCCGCCCGTCTCGGAGACTGCACCGGCGTATTTCGACGGTGATGACACCCCACGCCGTGAAGTCACCACGGGGAGTGCGAGGCGTTTCGGAGAACCGTGAGGAGGGGTCTGTTCCGAGCGCCCCAGGCCTCGCTATCTCCTAACAGAACCAGGTTGTTAAAAAATGTAGAGAATCTGTGTCACGCGTAAACCGAGGCGACGGAGGGAAGCCCCCGCGCCGCGGACGGCGCCGACAGGAGCCAGCGGGGAGGTGGGACCCGCGTGGAGCTGGGACGGCGGGAGAGGAGGTCCCAGGCCTCCTTCCAGCGGGGCCCCGCGCGGGGCGGCTAGTAAAGCCCCTGGGAGCCGGTGTCCTGGAGAAAGGAGACCCAGCCGCCTCCCATGGGTCAGTGGCCTGTGGAGAGGGGAGCAGGACCCGGGTCCCGAGTCCTTGGTTCAGTTCCAGCTGGGTCACCTCCTCCGGGAGCCTTGGTCTCTTCAGTGGGCAGGTGAGGCCCCGGGCGTGGGGTCCTCTGGGAGCCTCTGTCTCCATCGGTGCCCCTGTGAGCTTCTCCCCCCTTCCTCCTGCCCCGTTCTGTCCAAAGGGGCAGCCTCTGCACTTGCCCCCAGGGCCCGTGAGCCAAGGACCCTCGATTCTCTGTCACGGGGATTCCTGCTCCTTCCCAGGTTTCTCTCACTTCGGTGGCGGTAGTGTCGGTGTTTGCAGGGCGTGGTTGTGGGGAGATGTCTTCTCTGGGTCCCCTCTTTTCCCCAGGGCCTCTCTGTGCTTTCCCCAGTCGCAGGGTTTGCAGGCCCCTTGTGGGGGGCAGTGAGGAGGGTTCTTGCCGCCTCCAGACACGGGGGGCCGTCACCGGGACGTTCCTTTGCCCGGCTGTTTGTGTGTGGACTTGTGGGGAGACCACCTCACCCCGGAGACCTGGAACCACCCGATGCCACGACGCCGGTTAGCAGCTCCGTGTCCTTCCTTTCAGAATCTTTCCTGGGCGCATGTCCGGCCCCAGGAAGGGCCAGATCATGACTCAGGAGGAGATGCGAGGCTGGGATGCACTTAGGGACGTGGGGACATTTCAGATGCGCCGCAGGTCCTGCTGGAGTCTGGGTGCGGACTTGGAACCGGGCTCCGCCTGGTCTCCACGTGGGGATCAGAGGCCCCTGAGCCTTATACGATGTGTTTGTTCTGTGACACTTTTTTTTTGGACACTTTTAAAAAGTACAAGTGGATCTACGCGTCTGTGAGACCTGGCGGCTGCTCCGGGGGAGCGGCTCCCTCCACCTGCGTCCCGGCAGCCGGGCGGCCTCCCGAGACGCCCTGGCCTGCGTGTCCAGCAGGCTCTGTGCCCGTTTCCTGCTCGTAACCCTTCATCACGCCGCCCGTGGGAATGGTTTCACTGTGGAGCCCGCAGTCTTCACTGGGGCTTGGCTCAGAACAAATCACCTGGTATCTTGGCATTTGGAAGAGTCTCCCGCTTTGCAGGTTACTCATAGTCTCCAACATGTATTTTAGTGTAATTGGCTCTAAATGCCTTGAAATGAGCTGGAACCTTGGAGGGAAAGTTGGCTGGATGCCTTTGGAGATGTCATTTTGTCAGCAGATGCGTTTGATTGTCCACAGAGGGCGAAGCCACGCAGTCTGTCCTTCCGTCAGCTGTCCCAGGAGACGCCGGCTGCCAGGGGTTTATGAACGGCCTCGTTAGTAAAACAGAGCTGCCCTCTAAACAGGATCGGCCGTCAGGGCTGGGCGGCCTCACACTGGACACAGACCCCGCATTTCTCCGTCCCACGGTCCGTGTCCGCTGTGCCCGCTGTCAACACCTCCGCGAGCAGGACGCACGGCGTGGCCAAGGGCCCCGGCATTCCCAGCACCCGCTCATCGCGCCTGGAGTTCCTGGGTCCACCCCCAGAGTGCCTGGTGGGGACCGGGGATCTGCCTGGTTGACCGGCAGCCCCGCCGACGGTGGTGCCCACGACACTGACCCGGGGTGGGTGACTCCCGTGGGTGCGGAGTGGGCGTTTAGAAGATGCTGAATACCTACTTTCAGGGCTGACTCACCCCTTTATCTTTATTCGCTTCTCATCTAACCAACTCCGTCCCGTCACGGCTCAGTCTCCGGGACGACGCTTGTGATGTCACTAAGGGCAGAGTCTTTGCTTGGATTCCCAGAGACGGAGGGAACAGGTGTGACACAGGCGCCCGGGCGGGTGAGGGAGCCGGACGTGCAGCCGGGGAGCAGGTGGGCTTTGTTCCCTGCAGGTCACGGCAGAGACGGCCGAGTGTGTCCGTGGCCTCGCCCTCGACTGTGCCGACTCCCGCATCCCTTCTCCCAGGCACCCGCCCCGGCCACGTGCCTTCTGATTGCTCAGCGCGTCCCACACGGCTGTGCTAACCCAGCTCTCAGGCGGCGCACGATCACCAAGCACAACTACAGACCGGACGCCGCGCTGGGACGCGGAGGCCGCGCAGAGGGACACGCCGTCCACCCTGTAGGGGTTCTGGTCCCCTGGGCTCGAACGCAGCTGGCTGAGTGTCCACATCACGTCCTCCCCCCTCCCAGACCGTCTCGGTTCCGAAATCTGCAGCCTGAGGAAAACGTGGGAGATGTTTGTAAGACGTTAAGTGCTCATTTGGCCTGATTCTGGATTCTTATTGGGATCCTGGATGAGAAACTGGCACTTCATTGCAGCAAAACTAGTGAAGAGAGCACCTGCCCGAGGCCCGGGACCCCGTGGACATTCAGTGACCAAGGGTGGGGGCCCCTCGGACAGAGCGTCTGACTCAGCAGCGTCCGTTCATCCCCACTGCGGCGCTTTGTGGGGCGTCTGTAGGGTCTGCCCTGTGAAGACGAGTTGCCCCTGACCCACGGGAGTAATGACCGCATGTTGACCAAGGTGATTTCTATGGAGAGAGAATTCTTGCGTTAAGGTAACACCCTGCGGCCCTTTATTAGGAAGGGTTTTAGGATAATGAAGTTCGTACTGAATTTAAATAAACGTGTATCTGAAACAATTACTAACCCAAGAGATGTCCTGGCTTAACTCGGAGAATGCTAAGGAGAAGCGCATGTCTGCGATCTCATCTTTGGCATCAGCGCGGGTGTGAGGCAGGGAAGGAAACGAAGCAGGAATGTTTGGGGAAGGAGAGGCTTGCGAGCAGGAGGCGCACACGGCACGTGCCGGTCCCGCTGCGGGGCAGGAGCCCAGGGCGCCGTGCGGATCGCGGCCCCGAGACGGAGCTCGAGGAATTCTGGGAAAGGCTGGGCCAGGGCCCCCGAAGCCGGCTCGGAGGCTATGAAACACTGACCGACAGCCTGGTGTCCACGTAGATGAAACCACAAGGGCAGCACAGGGAACGAAGAGAAACATCAGCGGCCGGCATCTCCGGTCCTCGCTCCCACGGGTCTGAGCGTTTCCACGCGGTTCCCGCCCACAGGGGACGTCTGGAGCCTGTGCCCCTGAGCATCTGGGCGAGGCTGTTGGACTGTGTGGCTCTGGGTTCATCTAAGTGTTGAGAGGTCTGTCTTGGTTCCCACGCGAGATGCACGGTCCTCCTGGCGCGTGGTGCTCAGAGACATTGCTCCAGCCCCTGTGTCGCCCTGTCTGACATCTGCCACCCCACATGTTGGGTCCTCCTCTCTGGTCACAGCAGTCCCCTTCCATCGACCCTGAGAAATGAGCCTTTATGTCCTTCCTGCATCTTCCTTGAAAAACCTATCTCCTCTTGACCTGGAGATCAATTATGTGTGGTCTTGACCTGGTGATCAAGTGTGGTCTTGATGACCTGGAGATCATGTGTGGTCTTGACCTGGCTATCAAGTGTGGTCTTGATGACCTGGTGATCATGTGTGGTCTTGACCTGGCTATCAAGTGTGGTCTTAATGACCTGGAGATCATGTGTGGTCTTGACCTGGCGATCAAGTGTGGTCCTGATGACCTGGTGATCATGTGTGGTCTTGACCTGGTGATCAAGTGTGGTCTTGATGAACTGGAGATCATGTGTGGTCTTGACCTGGTGATCAAGTGTGGTCTTGATGAACTGGAGATCATGTGTGGTCTTGACCTGGTGATCAAGTGTGGTCCTGATGACCTGGTGATCATGTGTGGTCTTGACCTGGCGATTAAGTGTGGTCCTGATGACCTGGCGATCAAGTGTGGTCCCAGATTCGATGCCCTCTAGATGTTAAGCTCCAGGCAGCTCCTCCTGGAGTTCTCACCCACCTGGACACTGGTAAAATGCCTGACAGAGGGCGGTCACTCCAAATTATTAAACAGGTTCAATTCAAGCTGGATCTGACTTTTGAATTATCTTAGAAAAATGAGGCTTTCTCCTTAGAGAGAGTGAAAAGGAAGTAAAGGCAGTAAAATGCTGAAGTGCATGTTTTTAAAACACACAGATTGGTTTGTATTACTCTCAGCAAATGAAAGAATGAATGGGCAAGTGAAGGAATGAGCGAGGGGTGAGTGAGCGGGCGAATGGCTGCAGGGACAGGCCCTCTGGGGACAACGCCCTGCAGCGAGCGTGTTCCCTCCAGCCCTGAACTGCACGCGGAGGCTCTAGAGCAGTCTCCACATTTGCATCATAGAGTCAGGTTCTCTATTAATTAAGAAGGTCGAGGATTCTCCCTGAAACCTGGAAAGCTGGGGCTTTAAAATGAGGACTTACTCTTTTATGCAGGTTTGAATTCACGGCCACTTCCCGCCTGCCCCAGTTGCCGGTCGCCCTCGGGGCACTTCTGTCCCCCCTTCCCGGCCTCGTCCTCGTCCTCGGGTGAAGCTGATGCACTTGGAAGCTGCGCTCACTTCCCACGGCCTTGTGCTTAGAAAGCCCTCGCTCTGTGACTCTCACGGCGGCAGAATCATGCATTTCAGAGGCGTTTTTAATGTTTACTTACGGACCACGTGTGATTCCATGTCATGATCAGTGAAAAGTGTTTTCCATCAGCGCTACGGTGGGAAACTCAGTATCGTGAAGCTTTGAATAGTGTTTTAACCTGTTTCTTAAATGTTTTGATTTCATTCCAGTCTTTTCTGGCTTAAACCCACACATTTGTTAAGCAAAACATAGCTCATGCCTGATCCGCTCACACCTGACCTGCTTACCTTTCAGGCGGGCGCCGTGCACACCTGCACCCCGGGCGCACCTGTGCAAACAGCGGGCTGGGCGGGGCCCGCGGATGGGCAGAGCCCAGGGGGTTGGTTTTATTCGTGCTGCTCAGGGTCCAGCCGACTTCGTTCTGAGTTTGGCCAAGTGCCTTTTATCTCACTCGTTTACCCCCCAGTTCTTCTAATAACGAGCGGATTCTTCAGGATGGGGCGGCCGCTTTCCTTCGGGGCTGTTATCCGAGGATCCGGTCAGAAGCTCCTTCCCCTGCGTGCGCGTCGCCCCTGGAATGTAGCTGCTGCTCAATGGGGAGGGGAGAGGCAGGTGCACAAAGTGTGTGTTCTCTTATTTCGGACAAAGAATAGTCCCATTGTTAGTTCCACACCATTAAATCATCAAGAATTACGGTCAGATTCCAAATGCCTGAATGCTGGGGTTTGGGGTTTTTTGTATTAAAAGGTGTGGAGGCTGACTCTTTCCTTTTCAAGAAAGTGATAATTAGGACGTCTTACCCTAAGACATCAGCTTTTCCTCACCGAGGGTGTCAGGAAATGCAAACAGACGGCCTCCTCCACAGAGAAATTAGCAGATTTAGGCTATTCCACCTTTTCATCAAAACTAGAAGATGGGGCAGGTCCCTGTGTGAGCCGGGTCCTGTGACTGGTTCAGATTGGTTCAGTGTGTTGCTCTGTCTCTCCCGCTCTCCGTCTCTGTCTCTCTGTCTCTGCCTCCCTGTCTCTCTCTGTCTCTCACTGTCTCTGTCTCTTTGTCTCTCTATCTCTCTGTCTCTCTGCCTCCCTGTCTCTTTGTTTCTCTCTGTCTCTGTCTCTCTGTCTCTCAGTCTCTGTTTCTCTCTCTGTCTCCCTCTCTCCATCTGTATCTCTCGTCTCTGCCTCCCTGTCTCTTTGTTTCTCTCTCTCTCTATCTCTGTCTCTTTTCTGTATCTCTGTCTCTCTGCCTCCCTGTCTCTTTGTTTCTCTGTCTCTCTGTCTGTCTGTCTGCCTCTCGGTATTGCACCGTGGGGCCAGCCGTGTCATGAGATCAAGTCCACCCGACCCTCCGGAGCCCAGGAGGAGAGGAGTGAGCAGGGGCGAGAACTTTATAAGACAGAGGCGCCGTGTCGGTGGTGGATGGACAGAGGCGCCGTGTCGGTGGTGGATGGACAGAGGCGCCGTGTCGGTGGTGGATGGACAGAGGCGCCGTGTCGGTGGTGGATGGACAGAGGCGCCGTGTCGGTGGTGGATGGACAGAGGCGCCGTGTCGGTGGTGGATGGACAGAGGCGCCGTGTCGGTGGTGGATGGACAGAGGCGCCGTGTCGGTGGTGGATGGACAGAGGCGCCGTGTCGGTGGTGGATGGACAGAGGCGCCGTGTCGGTGGTGGATGGACAGAGGCGCCGTGTCGGTGGTGGATGGACAGAGGCGCCGTGTCGGTGGTGGATGGACAGAGGCGCCGTGTCGGTGGTGGATGGACAGAGGCGCCGTGTCGGTGGTGGATGGACTTCCTAGCGTGCAGGAGGGACGGGTCCGCATCTTCTAGGAGCTGCCGGGCTGCAGGCGCCTCCACCGCTGGACCCATACAGCCCACCTCCGGTGAAGTGAGAAATGGGCCTGAAACCCCTTGGTGACGGGTGAGACCGTGCGGGGCCATTTCTTTAGGGAGCCGCCTCCCGGTCCCGGGCAGCGACTCTTCACCTCCCCGATGGGGGCAGAGCAGGGTGAGTGCAGAGTAAACGAGCAATGAATTTACAACCCCCCAGAAGGCGCCGGTGCTCAGAGGGGACAGGTGAGGAAGACGCACACGCCTCCCCGCGCACCACGGTTCTGCACGCATTTAGCGTTCGGCCGCTCGGCCCCAAACTCCGACGCAGAGAAATGTCTGTGTCGAGGCCTTTGGAAGCCGACGGTGGCTCAGGATTTCAGGTCTCCGGCCGTGGTTCCCTGACACCAAGTGGCCTCAGGTCCTGTCTGTCTTCTGTTGCTCTGCGGGAAACGTTTCCCTAGACTGACCTGGCTTCTCTCTTTTCTCCCCCAGTTTTTGCGAGTTGATCAAGATAAAGACAAGGACTGCAGCCTGGACTGCGGGGGCTCCCCCCAGAAACCTCTCTGCGCGTCGGACGGGAGGACCTTCCTGTCCCGCTGCGAGTTTCAGCGAGCCAAGTGCAAAGACCCGCAGCTGGAAATCGCCTATCGGGGAAACTGCAAAGGTGGGTGGGACGCGCGCTCCTCCCAGCGCCGGTCGGTCCAGCGTCGCCAGGCACGTCCCTGCGTTCTCTCGTCGTCTTTGCCACATTTTTTATTGTTGCTATTAATCGTCCCCTGAGGATATTGTTTCCATTGATTTTTAGAGAGAGTGCAGGGAGGGAGGGAGAGAGAGAAACATCGATGTGAGAGAGACATCGACTGGCTGCCTCCCGCCGTCGGCGCCTGGGATCAAACCTGCAGCCCTGGTAAGTGCCCTTGGCCGGGAGCCAAACCTGCGACACTTGGGCGTGTGGGCCGACGCTCTATCCACCGAGCCACGGCGGCAGGGCTGTGTCTCAGATTTTTTTTAGAAATTTCGTCGAGTTTGTGTTTTCGGGGCTCAGCAAACACATTCGTGTTTCCTTCTGATCTGAGACCTTTGGGTCTGTCTGTCTTTTCAACAAAGCTTCTGGCATTAAATAAAAAAGCCGAAAGGAGAAAACAGAAGAAACGTCCGATGCCAGGAGACCTTGGGCCTATTTTGAGATTTCTGGGAACAGAACCCTAATGAATGTCTGACAACGGCAGCTTCCGGGAGATTTCCAAGACCGAGCTTCAAACGGACGGACTTGTGAAGAAAGGATGTCACTTCCGAGTGCTCCCCGACGTTCGCCCGTTGCCGCGTGCGGCTGGTGTCTCCGGGTCACTGTGGGGTCACTGCTCGGTGACCGCCCGGGCCAGGCGGGGCACACACAGCCTGTGAGTCCCCGTGGGACGCGGCAATCCTGCTTCAGGGGCCTCCTGTTATACTTCGTTTCTGTCTTTATGCGTTTAAAGCGACAGCACTTTATTTAAAGTGAAAACCCAGTTCCGTTTCTACCCTGGCTCTAAAATGCTGTGGTCGGGGGACGGGTCAGCCGCCCCAGCTGCAGGCTGGTGGTGGACGGGCCTGGACGGCAGCCCTCGTGTTGTTTGTCACAGCATCTGTCTGCACTGAGAAGGGGAAGAATATTTAATTTATGCCAAGAGCATTCAGCCCAGAATTCTTAAGTTTTCTGACAGTCGGTCTTCGATATTGCGGGTGGGTGAAATAGTACCTTCCGTTGGTGCCAATAGAAATAAAAGGCAGCTACTTGTGGGGCTCCCTCTGTGTGGCTGCTACAAGGGTCACGCTTCCTTCACCTGGTGGCCACTGCTCGTCCTGCCCGCACGTGCTAATGCCAGCCCAGCCAGTGCCAGGCCCCGAGCTGGGCCACGAGGACACGGCCCTGACGCTGTCCCAACCTCGGCATTAACAACCACGGTCACAGCCACTCAATGCCGTTCAGATCCAGAGTCCGGGGTCTGCTGGCCGGAAAACTGCCCAATCTCCCTTTCACTATATATTATACCATTGAGGCTAAAATAATCCACGTTCCCAAAGCTCCTGCCTCAGAGGAAGGTCGCCGAGCAGCGTGGGACCGCGATCCGGCGTCTCCAGTGTGGGCTACGCGTCGTGGGAGATGAACCCAGGAGGTGGAGGAAAACCTGACCCACGTTTTCTAGTGACCGTGTCCTTGGGATCCTGTTGCCTGGTGGACAGGTGTCCCCGCGAGAAGCGCCCTCGGGCTAAGGGCCCGAGTTCAGGGTCACCTGTGAACCTGCTGTTTCCTGACCTTGTTCTGATGTAGTAGATTCTCTCTGAAATTCTTCCCAACGCCTCCTCCCCCAACTGCTGCTTAATCCTGTTTTAAGTGACTTTAGCAAAGTAGGAAATTATTTGCTTCCTGTCGAAATGAAAACCATCATTAGAAACAACTGTGATACAACATTGCTCTTTGTTCCTGCATCTGTGACAATGTGTCTGATGCATAAACAGGACCTTGTCCCACTGGGAGAGAATCTGTCTTACTTTTCAACTGACAGAAAAAAAATTAACAACCAGGTAAATACATTGCTTGCTATACTCATTGTTATTAACTCATCAAAATTTTTTATATAAAAACCTCCTGTTAGGGTTGCGTTGCTGAGCACAGTGAAGAGATTTCTTACTTACAAAGTCTCTGCTCTTTCATATAAGAACAAAAAGTTTCTAAAAATACGTGATCCAGTCTGCATCAGCGAGTTTCCTTTGGTCTGCTACAGTGATTCAAGTCTTCATTAGAAGGAGATTAAATTAATAACTTGATTTAATTAAGATATTCATATTACAATGTTTGGTTGCGATGGATTTTCCTACGAGGTAAAAATTGACCGTAGTTTAAAAATTACTGTGAGCCCCAAGGTTATGGGGTAACCTTCATACCCAGGAGGCTGTAACAGTTAAAAGTGAAAACGCCGGAAAGAAAGCGCCGGTGAGCACGTGGAGAATGGGAGCCCTCGTCCAGGCCGGCAGGAATGTAAGTGGCTCGGCTTCGTGGAAAGTAGTTCGGTGGTTTCTCTGTGAGGCAAACACAGAATTATCAAGACCCAGAAAGTCCACTCCCAGTGCAGATGCAAGAGACTCGAAAACAGATGTTCAGACAAGGACTGGCCCCTGCTTCCCCCCACAGCAGCGCCCGGCAGCCAGAGCGGGACCCACCGTGTCCGTCCACAGCCGGCGCCGTGGTCCATCCACACAGCGGGTGATTTCCAGCCGAGAGGAGAGAGGAGGCTCCGACATGCGCTACGTGGATGACCCTGGGAACGTGCTGGTAGAAGAATCCGGGCAGAGTCCACATTGTCCATGACTCCACTCACATGAAATGTGCAGACCAGGCAAATCACAGGGACCGAGAGCAGATTGATGGTGGGGGTGGGCCCTGGGGTTTCCTTTGGAGAGAACGTTCTGGAACTTGATAAAAGTGGTGGTTACACAGCCCTGTGGATGCATAAATGCCACTGAACGATACTCTTTCCAATGGTTAAAACGATGAATTTTATGTTTTGTGTTGTTGTATCACAGTGAAAAAAATGATGGGGCTTGTGTTTTGAGGATTTAATTTTCTAACAGTTAAAAAAAAAATGTCCAGAGAAAAGCCTCAGCAAGGCCGCGGAACAGTGAAGGACCTGCTGCGGCTTCACTCCAACTGCAAGCAGACAGTGGCCACAGAGCGAGGAAGAGACTTGTCGCCTACGCGTGCGGCTCCGAGGGGAGACGCCGAACGTTTCGATTCTGTTTTCAGAAAGCGGTGGGAGAAAAGCAGAGCTGAAAATAATGTATTTTGAAGCTGTGCTGAAAGTTTGATTTCTTTAGGGAGGGGCATCTGATTTAGCCTCAGGTGGGTACACATTAGCCATGAGGTGGTTCACAGTGACGTGGAGGACGGGAGCCGGGCCCACTGCACCAGCTGCGGTCACCCTGAGCTCTGCCGGGGGCGCGCACCTGTTCCATAGGAGCGTATGGCGCACTTGGAACTCAGCCGAGCCCTAGGCCTCCTGTCGCATGTCCTGACGACTCCAAAAGGAGTAACAAGACACAAGCAACACAGGGAGACGTTAGCAGTTTTGAGAGAAACTGCCTGGTGCTTTGCACGTTTCAGCAAGACCCTCCTGGGGGCTGATGTCCGGATTCCTCGCCACGGTCAATGCCCGGCGCCCGGGTTAGAGGGTCTGGAGTAGGAGCGGCGGTCAGGGAGCAGAGGCCTCAGCGCCTGACTCCGCGGGTGGCCCCAGACCTGTCTCGGGGACGGTGGGTGGGCCTGCAGTGTGTGCCGTGCGTCTCCCTTGCTTCCCCGATGGCGCAGTCGGCGAGCCGGCCACGAACCTGGAACTTAGTGTCTGTCGAACGCGGGGCTGCAGGTCTGAGAACCCTGACAGGCGGCAGAAGTGGCGTCTTTAAGAGAGGGCGGCCACGCCAGGAGCGGCCCGAGAGTGGTTTGGAAAACATATGCTTTCTGGCATGTTCTACGAGGGTTCAAACGCTGGGCGTAATTTGTAACTCCATCCACCCGAGTGGAGACCCGGCAGGCGGGAGCTCATGTCACTTTCCCCTAGACAGTCAAACCGCAGGTTATCCTAAAAAAAGGGGATGGGAGTCCAGCAAAGCAGTGGTTTCTGCTTGGCTCAAACACAGGGCGCACTAAAACCACACATGGCCGAGGGCTGGCTGGGGGCCCAGCGCCATCAGGACAGGCCCTGGGACCAGAGGGGTTTCTCCAGAACAGGCCCCTGGCCCAGGGCAAGCCTGTCCCGGGGTCACAGCAGCCCAGGTGGCCCACCTCCAGCTGCAGGGTTTGCATGGGGCTCACTGACCCCCCCCCCAACAAGCTGTCAGACGTGGCCCGAGCAGGGGGCTGTTGCCCAGATGGCACCTCGGCGTAGCCAGCAGTTTTACTACCAGGCAATCAAAAAGTCACCAACTAAAGACACTGGGCAGTGGGCATGCTTGAAGAAGTGTCTTTTGGAGTCCACGGGGCCTTTAAAATCTAGACAACGTGTTATTTAAATCTGGAAACACTTAAGAAAACTTGGGAAGGCCATTCTTTTCAAGTTTTAACATTCAAATGAGCTGCATGATCCGGCGGTCCAGGGAAAGAAAACCAGTACTTGTGGTGGTGTCCGAGGGCACAAGGCGAGGAGGGGACACCGCGAGGCGTGGCGGGGACGCTGTGGACTTTCTCTGGTGGCTGGAGGCTCCCGAGAGAGAGGTTTCACTGGCTATTGGCCGAGGTCAGGAGAAGAGGGGCCCTTGCTAACAGCTGTCTCTCACCTTTAGCCCTTTCTCCGGGAGTCAGAAGCCAGCACCGGGAGTGAGCATCCTTCCCGGTTTCAGGTGGCGAGAGCCCAGACTGCACCCCCGAGAGGAGCGAGGGAGCTTCGTCGGGGCCGCTGGCTCCCCTTCCTCGGCGCACACGACCTCCACGGTCGGTTCTCCTGACTCCACCCCTAACTCATGTCCAGGCTGGGATGGGATGTGCTGAAATGTTTTTTCCCCTTTCAATTTCATTTTGTATTGTTTTCAGGTGTACAGCTTAGCGATTAGACAACCGTATGCTTTACAAAGTGGCTCCCCGGATGTTTCCAGGACCCACCCGGCACCACACACAGTTATGGAAACATTATTGACTGTATTCCCTGTGCTGTACTTTGTATCCCTGTGACTAGTTTTTCGCTTTTGTTCCAGCTTGTTCCAGGCACAGGGGTTTCTTCCTGAGCAGCAGCAGGCACGAGGCGCTTTACCTCTAGTTACATTGTAGCGGTTTTAACACGAGTGTCTGAAAGGCTGGGCAGGATGAAGGGAGGGGTGCTAACGGCCCGTCGGGCTCTCCATTTGCAGCGGGAAGAGGCGGGAGCTTAGTGTCTCGTTGGGATCCTAGGAAACTTCGATGCAGAGCGAAAGGCCACCACGGTTTCCCCACGAGGATGGCTTTCAGTTGGGGGGGTCACCTGGACCCCAGCTTTGGGCCAAATGTCCCGCACCCTGCAGGGGCCCGGATGCTCCTTCCCTGGGCCTGTATTTCTGGTCTGATTTTATCTGTGGCATGTGGACTGGNAGGGCCCGGATGCTCCTTCCCCTGGGCCTGTATTTCTGGCCTGATTTTATCTGTGGCATGTGGACTGGCCCCCGTGGCTCATCCCGGGACCTGAAGCAACTCTCACTGTATCTGGCTGGACTATAGCTTGTGTCTGCTCATGTTGCGTGAAGCGAGTCCCCTTTCACCGGGATGACTGAGCCTCTGCCTCCTGGCTCCTTAGGTGTGGCGGGACCCTGCTCCTCTGAGCACACGGCCTCTCACTGGGTGACGCCCGGCGGCAGGGCGGGCTGCCCCGGCTGAGGCTCGCTGCCAGGCGCCGTCCAGCCCCGGCCGCGTCTCCACTCCCCTCTGTGCCTCCTGCGGTCATCCTGGTGCCTGACCTCGCTCCGCTCTGCTCCTCCCTGCAGACGTGTCCAGGTGTGTGGCGGAGAGGAAGTACACCCAGGAGCAGGCCCGGAAGGAGTTCCAGCAGGTGTTCATCCCCGAGTGCAGCGATGACGGCACCTACAGCCAGGTGACCGCTCAGGGGGCCTCTGCACCTGGGCGGGGGGGGGCTGGCCTGGGGACGGAGGGGACCAGGTCGTCCCTGGGAACCCACCCTCCGCCTGGTGGTCGCCGGTCCCTAACCAGCCTCACCTCCGGGAGCAGGTGTGTGAGTGAGCGCCAGTCCTCCCGGGCGCAGGGGTCCCTGTCATTGCTCCGTGGTCACCCTCACCAGGGTGTGAATCGGGATGGGGCAGCCTTGCGGTGAGGCTGTGGGACAACTCACCTGGCTCAGTGTCGAGGACCTGACTTTAATTTAATCACAGTGCAGAGACCACTGAGAGTCACATAGCGACAGCAGCAGCCGGGAGCCCTGAGAGTCCAGACAGGAGGCTGAGGCTCCATGGTTTCTGACTGTCCTCGGACATCGATAGTCACAGGCAGTGTCGGGAAATAACCCAGTGCCCTGTCCCCAGTGCGGCAACATGATCATTGTCCTGAAACACAATGCCAACTCACAGCTTCTGGTAGGAAAATAACTCCCAATAATAGTGAGCCACCAATAATAGTGAGAATTCTGTGCAGTTTCACCACAATCATTGGACCTTCGGGAGGAAAGAGAGAGAGAGCAATGGGGACAGGCTGGAGCTACAGGGGGACCCTGTGGCTGGTGTGGAGGGCGGCCCCGGAGAGGACAGGCGCCCGAGGGACCCAGGTGGGGGTGGGTGAGGGAAAGGGCACCCGTCTGACAGCTGATGCCAGTCTCTTCTCCTTGACTCTGCACCGGGCATGCAGGAGACACGGAGCGAGTCTCTTGACACCTTGGAGCCTCAGTGTCCCCATTTGTAAGAAGAGGGCTTGGGCTGCATCTCCAAGTCAGCAAGGAAGAGAAGAGATGCGTCACCGCTGAGGGGCCCGCAGGCACCAGCATTTGGTCGGTGCCCTAGGTGGCTTTTATGTCCAGAACCCCGGGTTCGGGTTATCGCTCTCCGGCTATCACTGGGTGCTGAAAGGCAGGGCTTAGGAGTCACGAGAGTGGGTCTGTCCACAGCGAGGCCGCCTGTACTGACCACCAGTCCTGTCGTCTCTCCAGGTCCAGTGTCACAGCTACACGGGATACTGTTGGTGCGTCACACCCAACGGGAGGCCCATCAGCGGCACCGCCGTGGCCCACAAGACACCCAGGTGCCCCGGTAGGTCTGAGTCCCTTGAGGGGGAGAGACTTCCGCTGACACCCGATGACTGATTTTCTGATCCTCTCGCCTGTGTTTGCTTGTAATTCAAAAGAAACTCAGCTTGGGGGCCGTGCGAGGAGCGATGGGAGGGGTGTCGCCGGGCAAGCCCTGAGGTATTATGAAACCTGTTTTTGCGACGGGTGGGAGGTCAGGTCTGAGCCGCGCCAGGTCCTGGGGACTCGGGACTCTTAGTTTTTAGAAATAACTACAAGGACTGCAGTCAACAGCAGAAAGGACCAAATATTTTCTTTGGCAAAAAAAAGAAAAGCAAACATTTCTGGGTTTGTACGTATATTTTTGCAAAGAAAAAGTGGGTCATTCTTCTCGGCTCTATTTCCAGGCTTGTTCCTGTTGTTTCTATTACTCATCACAGGGCTTGATGTCCTGAACGTAACAGTATTGGCAAGAGGGTGATCTATAAAATAGTCTGTTTTCTGTTAATATTTTACCAAAAACTTTATAAACGATTCAGATCATTTTTATTTGAAAATAGTCTGCAGCCTCGAGTGTTGATTGATTGATCGGGAGACTGATCAGGTCATCTGTGAAGAAATGTCATGTTCTATGCCTCAAAATCCCTAGGTTAGATTTACTAAAACAGGCAAGAAATATCCTTATAGACCAATAATTAAGTACAAAGCGTCTTCCTGACATTTCTCGTAAATGATTTGCATGTGGAGTTTCCTTTGAGGCTTATTTTCTATTTAAAAGGCGGCCTGTTATAATTAGATTCCAACATTTATAGCCGGGGCCTCGCTCAGGACAGGCTCCTAATGGCCCCGGAACGAAGGCATCGTCATTAGCAGGAACACGAAACCTAATATTTCCAGTGACTACTCGTCACTTGAAGGGGGGGGGAGTTGTCTAATGGGGAATGAAAACGTATTTATTTTTAAAAACTATTTTGTCATCCAAGACCTAAAAATTGCTGAAAAAATATTTTTAGTGAGCAAACGCTGTACATAATAATTATTATTTGACGAACTCATGGAGTAAATGAAAAAAGAAAAAAATATCACACTGATTCGGCCCGTGTGTGCCCCTCGGTCTGAAAGGCACCCTCACTTGCTGACTTAGTTTCCCCTGAGGGGCAGCAGCTTCAGCTTCAGTCCAGGCTCATTCTACAGAAGAGGACACGGCTGATGTCTGTTTCTGTGATTTTAGTGACACCATTTGAAAATTAAAGAGTATCCCAAAGAACTATCTTAGAAAACCATGTGCAAAAATTGGCTGAATTTCTTACATTCTCCAACTACTACTTGGCTCTTGGAATCAAACACTGTACTGTTCACTCACATGGTTTTTTCCGCATCAGCAACGTTTTACTGGATAGAAATGCCCCGTATTTTTTCATGGCCCCTCTGGATTTTTTTGGTCCGAGTGATGGGTGTTGGAAGAAAGACTGTTCTGTCCTTTTGCTTCACAGTCTGGCTCGTGGTGCGGGAAAGGCTGTCGGGAGGAGCCAGAGACTGCGGGGTCTCCGTTCAGGGTTGGGTGCGGACTGCGCGCTCTCCTCGAACCCTGCTGTGTGTGCGTGTGTGGTGGGCGTGTGTGTGCGTGTGTGTGTGTGTGTGGTGGGCGTGTGCATCTCCGTGGCCTGGTTTTGTGGCTCTGACCTGCAGGTTGGCTTGGCCGGGGTCAGCTCACACCCGTTGGTCAGCTCACACCTCGCTCAGAGTCCTGGAAAAGCTCTGTGCATCCCCCGTCGAGTTCAAGCTTTCGCTCTGCAGGGGTCTGGGCTGGGAGAGCAGCGCGTCGGGAGCACTCGTGAGACCGTGTAGCGTTGTGGGGAATCCTTGAGGAAACTGTGAAGTTTAAGGGAGAGCTTGGGGCGGGCTAAGTGTACAGTTACACACAGATGCGCAAAGAGTTTACAGTAAACTTCTGTGTAACATAATTTCGCACCTTCCCAGACATAGACACAGACTCACACATACTGCAGAGACGCCGGGGGTGGGCCATCCCTTTGCGTGGGACTGTGACGAGCGACCTCAGTCACAGCTGTCCACTCTCCATCTGCAGACACCTCCGTGTCCAGGGCCCTCCCTTCCCCCGTGAATTAGCTGGTCCTCGTTACAGCTCAGGTGCACCGCCTGCCATCTGTACAGGATGGGGCTGGGTCTCAGCCAGGTCATTAAAACTGGATAAACCTTTTGTCCTGGAGTTTATGCCAAGCCTACCATGTAAGTACATGATAGAAAAATTTTAAACTCAGAAAAAGAAATTTCCAATTTAGCCATAAATAGTAAGAGCCACTGAGAATGTGCAGCTGTGTGAATACATGCGGACCCCGAGCCAGGCCAGCCCGGAGGGTGCAGGTGCCGTGTACCAGCCGGGCCTCGGTGGACGGAGGGAGCCTCGGCCCGACCCTCCGCCTCCTCATGTCTCCCAGAAATATCTTCCAAATGGGAGGATTTCCAAATTCACAATTATGCATTTTAAGCCATTTACGCAAAACACGCAAATTCCTAATAAACAAGAAGAATAATGAAATGATGAGGTGACAGGCCTCAGCCCGCCAGCGACCAGCGCTGTGGCTGGGCCCGGCCTCGCGGTTCTCCTTAAGGTCGTGAGACGCCCTCAGCAATGCCCACCGGGAACTCGGAGAAGATGCAGGTTTACGACTCACAGGCCTGGCAATTACGTGCACAGCTGGGGCCACACACCTGGGGCCACACAGCGAGGTCAAGGGGAGAGAGCGCGTGGGGCCTGGTGCTGCTTTATTAGGGTCAAAGGTGGGGCCTGGGGCGTCTCAGGCTTGCTCTTTATTGGTCAATTAAAACACGAAAGGCAGGAACTTAAAGCATGGGAAGGAAAAACAAATCCCACACAAGTGGCCCAAATGGTCAGTTATTGAACCAACGGAGACCTCTAGGTGGGGGGGGGGCTCTGTCTCTGGTGTGGGGCTGGCAACGTGTTTACTCAGACAGACACCCTTGGAGAGGACGCCTCCGGAACGGGGTTGGTCTGGACAGAAGAAGCCCCAGGAGGGAGCGGCCCCTCCACCCCCACGTGAACTCTTCTGGAGTCTGAGAACCACCCCAACTTTGATAACCTCTCCCCACTGCGCCCACATCCTGACGACCGTCCGCCCGGAAATAATGAACAGTTAGCGCAGGTTTTCACGCTGGCGAGTCGTCTGCGTTTCTCGCATGGTTGCCCCAGGTGTCGGTGTGGAGAGGGTCCCGAGAGGAGCATGTGGGGTGTTGTCCAGCCCCTCTGCCCGGGGACACCTGTTGCTGGTGCTGAATTACGCACGTGACAGCCCAGGAAGGCCACCGGGGTCTGGTTTAGGGAGTGATGGTGCCTGCGTCCCGCCCACCCCACGCTCAGGGGGAGCATCTGGGCTTTGCCTCCCCTCCAAGAAATACGCTCACCACATACTGTTAGTTATTTTATTCACGGGCAACACGGCAGCGTTTCCCAGGCCAGGGCTCCAGGTCTGGGGGAGCCCTGCAGACCCACATCACAGGCCCCGCGTCACAGGCTCAGTGCCACAGGCACACGGAGGGGGGACTCGCCGCGTCCAGGAGAATTCGGGAGGCCTCCTGGGGAGACGGTTTCTGAAAAAGGGGGACGCGTTGGCCGGGCTCAGGAAGGGGGCGCCCTTTATTCCCGAGCGTGCCCTGGCCCTCGCTTTTCTTCTCAGTACGATTGCTCCCGAGTCCGCGAGCTGTGAAGATGAGCAGGGAGAGCCCAGCTCAGCTTGGGGAGGGGCGTGTCCATGGCAACCAGGCCCCGCCTGGACAGGAGGACAGGCCCTCAGGACCAACACCTGCCCCTGAGCCCTGCCTGCCCGGGAGCAGCGTTCCGTGCCCGGGGCATGGACTTGCCCTGTTGACTTACACCTGCCGGGGCCGCAGGCCTTTCCCCTGGGGTCTCCCCTCCCAGCAGAGCCAGTCGGAGGTAAAGGGACCTCGGGACCTCGGTGCCGGTCAGGGCCGGTCAGCTGCCTCCACCTGCACACAGCCAATCTGTTTTTCTGTCCAGATGGTCTCTGCTGCTTCCTTTTGTAAAGACCTGAGGAGTGACATTGCTGGGGGCAGGGAAGAGCTTACACAGGATGTTTTGCGAGGGAGGACCTCTGAAGCGGCCTATTCTCTACGTTTTGGGAATCGCTCCAGGGTTTTAATCTCATCTCCCGCGGTAACCCGCACCCTGGCCAGGAGCTGGTTCCTGGCTCGAGTACAAAGCCGGTTAAGACTGTAAGCTGAGCCTACGTGCAAGAATGCTCACTGCTAGATAGCCCCGGGACCGCACTCCGCTCGGCCGAGGTATGTGTTTGAAGTGAGCTGCAGACTTGGGGTGCTGAGGAGGAGGGGCACACCCCACAGGCTGGGGGCCGAGGCCCGGGATCTGCCCCCACCTGCCCCTTTGAGACCCGGGTCAGGTGCGGGAAGGTGTGGAAAGAGCTCGTCCGCCCGGCCGCCCTGCTGATGGCTGGCTCACAGGGCAGGGAGGAAAGTCATCCCTTTGTATTGTTTTTTCTGGCAAGTGTTGTAACATCAAAAATGACCGACGCCCTGGCTTAAATGATCGAAGGTTCTGTGTCGTCTGGGACAGGAATGGGAAGGCCGTGGTCCCGTCTGGGGGTTCTCTCTGCTCTTGTGCATTCCATTGTTAAATTTGGGGTCTGGGAAGGCCCAGTTATACACGACGGGATCTTGCCCGTCTGGCGTGGCTCAGAGGTTGAGCATCGACCTAGGATCCAGGCGATCGGGGTTCGATTCCCAGTCAGGACACATGCCAGGGTTGCAGGCTCCATCCCCAGCATGGGGCGTGTAGGAGGCAGCCGATCAATGACTCTCATCATTGATGTTTCTATCAGTCTCCCTTCCTCTCTCTAAAAATCAATAATATATATATATATAAAGAAATAAAAAAGTAAGTGGCGGGATCTTGGGTCGGAGAGAATAACCTTCAGCGTATGATCCGTGTCCGTCTCTCTGGGATCCTTG